AGTGTGTGTGCTCTCGTGTACTTCCGCAAAAGAAATGTGGGACAAACTATGTTTGATTCATGAACAAAAGACAGTGACAAACAAGCTGGGTCTGCTGCAGAAATTTCATGCTTATCGGATGAGCGAATCGGACACGGCGACTCAGCACGTAGCCAGGGTGACAAACATGGCGTGTCAACTTAAGGACATCGGAGAGAACGTATCGGACGCCACAATTATAGCGAAAATTCTCTCAAGCTTGACTACAAAGTTCAGTACATTGCAGGTCGCCTGGGACAGTGTGGACCCAGAACGACAGACTCTCGATAATCTACAAGAAAGGCTGATCAGAGAGGATACCAGGCTCAACGGTGACGAAGAGAAGTCGGAAGCACTGACCGCGACAGCCAAAAATCGAAGCACCAAAGAAACAAAAGGTGCTAAGAACAAAAAACCCGAAAATAAAAAGGAAACGAAGGAAGTGCAGTGCTACAAATGTCAAGAGATGGGACATATCGCGAGACAATGTCGAAACAAGCGGAAGCTACGAGATGACGGCAACAAACCTCGTGACTGCGCATTTGTAGTCGAATCAGGTAAAAGTTCGGACAAATCGATCTTGAAAAGCGCGGGAAACGCAAGTAAGCTCTGGACACAAAGTCACATAATGACGGCCGATCCAAGCGATGTCTGGCTGATCGACAGCGGTGCATCGAGGCACCTAACTTACCGACGCGACTGGTTGACTGACTACAAAACAGATGGTACTGGCGCAACGATATCACTCGGTGATAATCAAATCTGCAATGTCGCCGGCGAAGGCACGGTGCGAATCAAAAGGCTCATCGACGGTGTTTGGCAAGACGCACGAATTGAAAAAGTGTTACACGTGCCGAAATTGCGCAAAAATTTATTCTCGGTCGGAATGTGCACAAAGAAAGGATTCGGCGTGCAATTCAAAAATAATTACGCCGAAGTTGTGCGTGATGGCAAGGTGCTCGCGATAGGTGCAAAGCAAGGCAACGACGTGTATCGCATGATCTTCAAGGTCACGAAACAAGGGAGCGTCGAAGAAGCGAACATAGCTACAACAAACTTAACCGTGTGGCATGAACGACTAGGACACGTCGGAAAGCGCGCGATTCGCGAATTAGCGAAAAAAGGACTTGTAAGTGGAGTATCGTTTACGGACAAAAATGACGTTTTCTGTGAACCGTGTCAAATGGGGAAATTGCACAGACTGCCATTCAATAAGAAAGTGGAGCGAAACACGAAAATTAAACCCGGAGAAAAAATTCACTCTGATGTCTGCGGGCCGATGTCAACGAACTCTGTGGGTGGATCAAGATACTTTCTAACCTTCAAGGACGAAGCGACCGGATACCGACACGTATACTTTATGAAGAAGAAATCCGAGGTTCACCTGAAATTCAAAATTTTTGAAAAAATGATAGAGAACAAATTCGGTCGAAAAATAAAAACGCTTCGTTCGGATAATGGTCGGGAATTCCTTAACAAAGAAATGAACGAATATCTCGAGAAATGTGGAATCCATCAGGAGAAAACGGCACCGTACAATCCGGAGCAAAACGGGAGAGCCGAACGCGACAATCGGACGATAGTCGAAAGTGCGCGAACGATGTTAATCGCGAAGAGTCTACCACTGACTCTATGGGCAGAAGCGGTAAATTGTGCAGTATACGTTCTTAATCGAACCGTGTGGACGACTGGTACAGTAACACCGTACGAAGCGTGGACTGGGAAAGTCCCAAATCTGAAGCATCTTCGAATCTTCGGCTCAGACGCGTACGTGCACACTCCCAAACAGTTTACGCAGAAATTCGATGCTCGAGCGAGTAAACAGATCTTCGTTGGTTACACGGAAGAATCGACGAATTACCGAGTATACAATCCGAAAACGAAAAGGGTCAGTGTAGCTCGCAATGTCATATTTAATGAGAAAGTCGGCAAACCTCTGGCGGAAACGAATCCAATGGAGGAAGAAAATGAAATAATACTTCCACTACCAAAAGCCGAGAACGAAGAAGAGAACGGGGGCATCGGCCAAGAACAAGCAGAAGTGGAAAACGAACAAGAGGCCTGCGAACAAGAGGATACGTCGGACCTGGAAAATCAAAGAGCTCTAAGAAATCGCTCGACAATTCAAGTACCGAGTAGGTACCGGCATGATGCATATGTGGCCGAGTACATCGTACCACAAACATATGAAGAAGCGAAGAATAGCACCGAAGCCGCGCAGTGGGCGAGTGCTATTCAAGACGAACTTCAAGCTCACGAAGAAAGTAGCACTTGGAAACTCGAAAAAAGGACGCCGGAAATGAAGCTAATCGACTCGAAATGGGTTTTTCGGGTGAAAAAAGATGCCGACGGGAAGCTGCATCGATTCAAGGCACGGTTGTGTGCGAGAGGCTTCATGCAAAGAAGGGGGATCGACTTCAACGAAACATTCTCTCCAGTTGTAAGGTACGATTCGTTGAGAATACTGCTAGCAATAATCACCTCGAAAAATCTTGAAGTAATGCAGTTTGACGTCCAAACCGCATTCTTGTACGGAAAATTGGAAGAGACAATCTTCATGCAAATTCCGGAAGGATTGAAGATAGAAGAAGATCCAAGAAATGTCGTGTGCAAGCTCCAAAGGTCCCTCTACGGTCTAAAGCAGGCTCCAAGGTGTTGGAACCTGAGGTTCACAAGTTTTCTGAGTGAGTTCAATCTAAAAGAGTGCGATGCGGATAAGTGCGTGTTTACCGGGAAATACAAAAACGACGAAGTGTATCTGGCGCTGTTCGTCGATGATGGGCTAGTAGCCTCAAAAAACGTAGAGACGCTTAAGAAAATAATTCAACGACTGAGCGAAACGTTTAAAATAACGGTCGAGGATTCAAATGTTTTCGTCGGGTTGCAAATCGAACGCGATAAAAGAAATAAACGGCTAATTATTCATCAGAGCGAATACACGCGGAAAATAATTGAAAAGTTCGGAATGGCGGAAGCGAAACCAGCAAATGTGCCAGCAGATCCGCACGCAGCACTATCTCCTAGCGAGGAGAACGACGAAAAATCAAGCAGTGTGCCGTATCGCGAAGCAGTCGGGTCGCTAGTCTTTTTAGCTGCTGTATCGAGACCGGACATCGCGTTCGCGGTAAACTCCGTGAGCAAGTATTTGAGCAATCATAATGCTGCGCACTGGCGAGCAGTAAAGCGAATATTCGCGTATCTAAAAAGCACAATCGACTACGGTATCGAATACTCAAGCGGCGGCAGCAATGTAGAATTGATAGGTTTCTCAGACGCCGATTACGCCGGAGATATCGAGACGCGAAGATCCACGACAGGATACGTTTTCTGTCTCGCAAACGGAGCTGTCACGTGGTCGTCGCAGCGGCAACGACTGGTGACGTTAAGTACCACGGAAGCCGAATACGTGGCAGCATCAACAGCAACACGAGAAGCGATTTGGATTAGGAAGTTGTTATCCGACATCGGATATCCTTGCGACAAAGAAACAACTCTATACGTCGATAACCAAAGTGCAATTCAGTTAGTCAGGAACCCGGTATTTCATAAAAGAACGAAACATATCGACATCCATTTTCACTTCGTTCGCGAAAAAGTAAATGAGAAGGAGATTATAGTCGAGTACGTTCCGTCCGAAAATCAACGCGCGGACATATTCACAAAGGCGTTGCCGCGAGATCGTTTCAAAAGCATATGTAATAAGTTAAACATTATAACGATTCACGAGAAACGCTTGAATGGCGGCAGTATTGAGAATACAAGTATTTGAGTTCAGCGCGTTTCTGTACTCGAGTGTACAGACCAATACTTTTATGCGTGACTGTACTGTACTCGACTCAAGCGCGGCTCGGAAAACTTCGACTCTCATCGTAATTAACCGATAACCGTTTAAGTGATCTCTCTCGCAGTCTCTGCTTGAATTCCGAAATGAGAGGACAGCACGCTCGCGGATTATAAAATTTACTTTTCAATAAATTACGTTCATTTATAAGTTTCTACTTAATTACTGGCTCAACTCATCCAACCACGCTCTGCTAACAAGAAGTCTTATCAGTGTTCAAACTCTAAAATATTATTTATTGAAAGCGTATCAAAAATAATATAAATAAAATAAGTAAATTAAACTATAGTCTATATAAATACATTGTTAACTATTGTTAGGTTAGGAAATCTGTCACATCGCTCAAGACTTTTGATTTATAACTGATTAAGTACTGCTTAGTACATTCTGTTTAATATACCGTGCATCCGCACTCACGAGCGTGGCACAACTTTGTTGTTCATAGCAGATTTCCTTGCAATCGGATTACGGGTAACTTTAAACGAAACGCGAAAGAAAGGCGTCTTCATGCTACTCTGAAGGGCAACACAAAATCGCGAAACAATAGTTGGGCACCAGGCACGCGAGAGTGAGCGTGCCACTCTTTCTCGAAATTACGCGATATTTTCTCTATGCAATATTCTAACGGGCTGTGAACGTCGACGGGCTCTCAACCGGTAGCTCAGCCTCGAAAATGGCAAAGGGGGCGGTTCGTGGTCGAGGATAGAGAATCGTTTGGAGAAGTGAATAGTGACGACAATAAAGCATATAAGAATTAATAATAGCAAGAATAACAAGTATATTTAATAAGTCTCCGATTTTCGTTTACATTTGCCGACAAGATTGTGACGATAAGATTCGATCAAACGCGATAGTTGCTTCGCACAGGCTTCGAAATGCTTCACGCGGTGTGTATCAATTCCATTAGATTTCGGCGACCCGAGCTCACGGTGGTCCCAGAAGTACCCGACCTGACGTACAGATGGCGGTTGTTGTATAAAAAAAATCACTGTAGGGGAAAGCCCCAACTTTCTAAAGTTTAACTATGAAGTTTGAAGACGCTACGTTGTTCAATATTTGTTTGGCAGCCATCAATAGTGGACGATCTCGGTGAATTTGCAAAGATGGAAAAAATTGGTCATCGTTATGTGATACAATACAATACTTTAATTTGAAAGGTCTTAGCCCAACCAATATCAAAGCCGAACTGGATTCTACTCTGGAGGAGTCTGCTCCTTCGTTTACAACAGTAAAACATTGGGTGGCAGAGTTTAAACGAGGCCGTACGAGCTGCGAAGACGAACATCGCAGTGATCGACCAAGTGAGGTGGCCATTCTAGAAATGGTGAAGAAAATCCACAAAATGGTATTGGGTGACCGTCGATTGAAAGTGCGCGAGCTAACAGACATGGTAAACATTTCAAAAAGTGCTGTACATCGCATATTGGCTGAAAATTTGGAAATGAGAAAGCTGTGCGCAAGGTGGGTGCCGCGCTTGCTCACAATCGAACAAAAGCAGCGTCGAGAGGATGTTTCAATCGAGTATTTGGCGATGTTTCGCAGCAACAAAGCCGAATTTTTGCGCCGATTCATAACCATGGATGAAACATGGGACTACTACTTCACACCTGAAACGAAGGAACAGTCGAAGCAATGGACTGAAAAAGGGGAATCGGCTTCGAAGAAAGCAAAAACAGTTCCATCGGCAGGCAAGGTCATGGCGTCAGTTTTCTGGGATGCGCGTGGCATAATTTTCATTGATTACCTTCAAAAAGGAAGAACAATCAATGGCTAGTATTATGCGAACTTATTGCAGCGTTTGGGTGATGAAATCAAGGAAAAACGGCCACATTTGGCGAAAAAGAAAGTGTTGTTTCATCAATACAATGCACCAGTTCACACATCAATTATCGCGATGGCCAAAATCAATGAGTTAAAGTTTGAATTGCTTCCCCACGCACCCTATTTGCCAGATTTAGCCCCCTCGGATTATTTTCTCTTTCCAAACTTGAAAAAATGGCTCGGTGGTAGAAGATTTACCAACAGAAGAGGTGGAGTCTGCGGTTAATGGCTATTTTGAGGAGTCCAATGGTTCTTACTATAAACAGGCCATCGAAGCTGTTGAACATCGCTGGGAAAAATGTATCGAGCTAAAAGGAGACTATGTTGGTGTGTGTGTGTTGAGAAATAAAAATATTTTTTCCCAAATTTTTTTGTTTTCTTTGTTAGGTCGGGTACTTCTGGGACCACCCTCTACACGCCAATATTACAGCACAGAACTTCGACACGATACGATACAAGAATATGACACGCGACAAAATCGTAGAGAAATTGACGAGACTGTGGCCTTGATGGACGCAAAAAGTTCTCCCGACAATGAGTAACCGTCCCGGGAGGCGACATGTGTTACCCGAATTCTACGGAAATCCAGAGCACGGCAACGTCACGTGCGCTCATCACCATATACCCGATGATTTAGTGATAATCTCCCGGATTCGGAAACCGGTGACTTTACAAAGGGTGACGTTCGTCTCATCGTGACCTCCTGCTGTTGCTCGTCTTGATAGTCTCTCAATTTACTCGCTCTTTATTCCTTTTGCCTGAGTCCTCCCAATCGTCCGCTCGCTAGGTAGGCCACATCACAAGTGCCTGGCGCTGATTCTCCTGGGGGCACGCAGGGCTCGTTATCCCCGCGAGGGGTCCTTATTGCGCCTCATTGGCGCGTGTATTTTCGCTAATCGTGTCATGCCCATGTTGCATGTCCTGGCGCGCGAAATTTGAGGAACCGCAGGATCTTCTCGGGCCGCCCCGTGGCCTCGAGGCGTCTTCTCGGGACTCTCGCCGTCCTTGGGGCGTAGAGTGGCCATCCTTATCCTGCCATTCCAATCCTCGTTTCACCTTGCGCTTGGAAGATAAAAGGTGTCTTGCGATAACATAAAGGGCGAAATAATGAACGGTATCACCTGCGTGCGACCTGGGGGACAGGGTGTCATGCGCCCCGGCAAATCCGTCAGCAGCGGTCGTTGCCCGATTTCCAGTCTTGGCCGTCTTCCTTCTTCCCTCTTCACAGTTCGGTGAGTCGGCGTCAATCTGACAAGATCATGGGAGTCGCCAATCTCTATACGGTACGGAAATGCACAAAAAAAGAAACGAAAACGATAACGCGAAACGCGTGAGACAAATAACGTCGCAAAAAAGCGCAGATGCGTCCGCCCCCTAAAATGTGGAAGGACGCAGGACGCTAGATTGCACTATTCGACCGGATTGTGCGACCCTTGTGACGGACGGAAAACGTCACGTCACAACCGATATACCTGTTTATTGTATTTTAGTTTTATTTTTATTTTGTGGAATGTAGTTTGTGGTTAGTAGTGCGAACAGTGAGAAGTGCGAATAGTGAAGCGCCATTTTACTACATGGTTGAAACCTACGATGTATTATACAGTTTCATCCATGTATGAAACCATGTATAATATGTTGAGTTTGAGTCATGCCCAACCCTACGCGTCAGTGATGCGTTAACTGCACTCATTGCACCCATAACCAAGAAAGTCAGCTGCTTGCCGCACGTAACACATGTTGTGTGCGGATTTACACACGTGTTTTAAAGCTCCGTGTGATACTCAAACGCTGAATAATCCATCGTTTGTGATTATTAATGATTAACTGATAAAGCGGTTAATAAATTCCTCGTGTTATAAAGTGAGTATAATCAAATTATGTCAATATGCTGAAACGTAACATAATTTATAAAAGAAGGGTCATCGTGGGAACGTGTGATTTGTCTATCTATGTACTTAAAAGATATTTATATTTGAGTGATAAAAGTGAATTACAGTTGTGTCGAGCATTATTACGGTGCATTCTTATTTCTCCAACTTTTTCAAGAAGCTAGAGTAAAATGGAGTCATTGACCATCTACAAGGTAAGAACAATTTTATTAAAAAAATAATAAGCTTTTAAAGTGTATTTGGCTTACGTTTTAAACATTTATAATCTTTGAATGCTAAAAAGAGTTATAAATGCGATCGCGTTTATCATAAAACTTTTCATAAGTATGCAATAAATATTACAAGCGCGATAGCGCAGATAAAATCGTTAGACAAATTTTTGTAAAATAGAGAAATTAGACTGTTACGTACAGGTCCCAAGATTCTTTTATTCCAATATTGGGAAAAAGGAATTAGGAAGAGGCCAAGGAAGGACGTAACTGACACTAGCTCTGGTTATCGCTCTGAGGCGAGTGCCATAAGTTGGAAGTACTTGATTAGGTCCCAGATGTGGGTCAACGTCGATACGCAACGCTATTATCCGAGATTATGCCTCTGTCCTCTTTTAGGCTAACTAAATTAAAGGTCGAACTTAATCCTTTTGACCAGGGATTGGATCCGTACGATCTTTATTAAGACGTAGCGAATCGGAAGAGTACCAAAATCAAATTTAAGCAATCATTTAGATATGTATTGTATATATATATAAATATGTTTAATTTAGGTGTGTATTAAATGCTAACTTTGTTTATATATTTGTATATAGATATAGTTCTGTATAAATATAGTTCTGGATGTACACTTTATAAGTTACAATTACTGTATGTGTGTGATACATGTGTTGGTTTTACAAAAATCGGGGCTAGAGACAAATATAATAGAATTCTGTGTAAGTGTGTGCGTATGTTAAAGGGAAGGAGAGGAACTTCTTATAGGTTCGAAGAGATATTCAAGTAATTGGAATATCTCATCATAGGACCTGTTGTCTTTTGGAGGAACTGGGGAGTAAGAAGGAACAGAAGATTCTGAGTTTTAGAAATTATCGAGGGTAGGAGAGGGAAAGGAATTCAAAATCCAAGGAAGATTCCGGAGGTGTATTACTAGAGGAACTATTGGTTGGATTTTCAGAGGCAAGGTTTATCACAAGGACGTCGGAGGAGGCTCGATCTTGATATTTTTGGCGCAAATGAGCCCTTCTAAGTTGATGGGCTTGAGGGGAGATGAATTGCCTGGTCTGTATCCGCGTAATAATCGAGACGCTAGCCTTTCTAAATTTTTCGAGCTTGGCCTGCTTTTTGCGTTCTGCTCTGCGTTTATTATGCCAGATCATCTATAAAAATTTTTTCTCGTTAGTGTCCATGATGGATAATTAGAAGAACGTAGAAGGAGAAGATAATTCCGAAGAGAACGGAGGGGGAGATAGATTTTTCCGGGAGTTATGATTTGGTTCTAGGGAGAGTAACCCCTGGATTATTTAAGGCGTTTTATCGCTTAAATATCTCTAAATAAGGAAAAGAGGAGAATTACTTGAAGCGTTTTACTGCTTAAGTAATTGTGAGTAGAGAAAGAGGTGAATTACCTGTAACATTTTTATCGCTTAAGTAATTTGTTAGGAGAAAAGATAGGCTGGAGGTGTCTGCGGTTAAAGAGAGAAAAGATTGAGGAGAAATAAGAGCGAGAGAATATTCATGGTCATATAACTTGAAAATTAAATTAACACGAGAAAGGAAAAAAAGAAAATTTGTTCTTACTATTTGCTGGAGGTAGTGGCGAACTATAGTGGGAGTCCTCGGTATGATATCCCAATAATGGTCCCAGTGATGCCTCTTAACCAAGGATGAAAGATTTTTAACATGAATTACTGATTTTTGCACTGAGCTGAAAATTCCACACTTGGAGTAACTAAACCCGTCGACTGATCGAAAAATTTTCTATATCTGGCTGCGCTTTTCCAAAGGGTCGTATATACGAGGTCTGTTCAAAAAGTATCGCGAATTTTGAATTTCCGCGGGTTACATATGTTCGATTTTCGATTTTTTTATGGCGTTATGTTGGTACTCATGTCTCTCACTTATGACGACAAGTTCGGCCATTTTGAATGTTCAGTTAATTTTTGACAGCTGCTTCGCTTGTACGTGTTTTGGCTCATCTTCGATTTTTGCCTATTCCGAAAAATGGATCAAAGAATCTGTATCAAATTTTGTGTGAAAAACAAAATTAAGTGTGCGGACGCATTCCGAATGTTGACTGTGGCATATGGTGAAGCTACCTTGGACCCAAGCAACGTTTATCGGTGGTACAAAATGTTCTCAGAGGGCCGAGAAGATGTGAACGACGAAGAGCGTGCCGGACTCCCGAGCACGTCAACAACAGACGAAAACATTGATGAAGTGAAGAAAATAGTATTGGCCAATCGTCGAATCACCGTTAGAGAGGTTGCTGAGGACCTAAACATATCGATTGGCTCGTGTCATTCGATTTTTACCAATGATTTGGGCATGAGACGGGTCGCTGCGAAATTCGTACCAAAATTGCTCAATTTCGACCAAAAACAGCATCGCATTAACAGCTAAGGAGCTGTTGGACTTTGTCCACGACGACAAATTTGCTCCAGAGGGTCATAACTGGTGACGAATCATGGGTTTATGGTTATGACGTAGAAACCAAAGCTCAATCATCCCAATGGAAGCTGCCGCACGAGCCAAGACCGAAAAAAGCGCGCCAAGTTCG